GATGGAGTATTGCAATACTGCAATCTTTGAGGCACCAATTAGAATGAAAGCTCCACTGTACAGACAGTGAAAAAAGACTTGGCCTGTTGATAAAATCTAGTCACTCCACCAGCCTCGGACTCCACCTCCAGAAACAGTGGTAAGCAGTTACACTTCTTTTGCAATTGAGTGACCTGGTTCTTAGAAGATGTTATTGCTCCTACTAGGAGGGAGTTTTATTGTAGTAAATCTGAGCTAAGACTTTTTAGTGATTTCACAAGCAAAAGATGCTGGCAGAAGGATTCTTCAATAGAGGAAATAACAAGGCAAAAGCAGAGAGGCGAAGGATTTTAATCATTCCTTTTTATTTCCAAACTCCTAGTCAGGTGGGTAAGCCATTTACTGCTGCCTTGACTCTATATGTTTCTCTTTACCTTTCTTCCCTCACAAAGTACATGACCATCACCATATTTTTTCCTCTAAAAAGAGTGCAGAGGCCTTTTTACCTTTGAAGTTGTCTTTCAACATCACTACCGATTGATTGTTTAATGCTGTTGTTCTCCATTTTCAGTCTGCATTCACATAGTAAGCCAACGCATCCATAAGCCAAATGTTCGAATTTTTTTCCTCTTCCTTCAGCTGAACAGGAGGTCCTCCAACAACCACAGGCAGGGAGGGGGGTGACGACGTAGGTGTGGGGAACCTGCTCACGTAGCTGAAGCTCCAGTCTGCCTCATGATACTTCTGGCTGACCATTGCCATGTTATAATTGACAGCTGCTGGCCACCAACTTTATGACATGGTGGGACAGGAACTTCTGAATGCATAATCGTTTGGTTCTCCATGTTTTTATCTCTATCAGGAGCCAGTAGCATACCAAAACGGGTCTTGAGTAAACCTTGTAATTCTTTGTTGCAGTAAGCCCAACCTTCAGCACCCAGGAAACCATATTATGATTTTCCCATTGGTTCTTATCATAAATTCCACACTGAACTTTTTTTTTTTTTTAAACCACCACCACCTTCAATACCACAGCATCTGTTGGAAAAAATGGCCAAGTTACACATTCCTTCATTTTTGTCACTCTGGGGTCTATTTCTAATAGATCCCATCCCCCCAATTATGCGAATGCTAGGTTGCTTATTGAACAAGGAGTGGTAACTAGCATTAAACTGCACTTCTAGGTTGATCAGAGCCAAGAAATTAAATGCAGAAAATGCAGGGGCTACCCAGAGGTGAGAGGCCAACAACAGAAATTCAAAACTCCAGTTATTTGAATAAAAGACTCTTCATACATATGTATTTACTGTCCTGAAACTAGACACTGAAATCCAGCTAAGCCACATTTCTTCGCTTCTAACACATTTTTCAGCCAATAAAATGTAATTCTTATGTTACTCAGCGTGACACCCAACACTTACATAATTTCATTCACTTTCTTAACTGGGATAGCAGGTTTATCTTCTGTCCCCCCAAAAATTAATTCGCAAATTTCCTTCTTTTTTCAGAAAACTAGTTTAGTGGAATATTGATCATTGGGTAGCATACTGCTCTGTAACAGTAGAAACTGAGTAGTTTGATTATAGGAAAATGGACCTCAAGCATCAGGTCCATGGTCTATTTAAAATATTGCCATGACTGCAATGGGATCTTAATACCTGATAAAGTAAATTATCTTGCTGTGTTCATTTAATGATAGAATCTCAACAATATAAACAATTATTCATATTCAATGAGGTGCTGAAAACAAAGTAAGGCAAAGCCAGTGAGCTGTGAGCTTCACCTGCCCTTCCAGGTTGCCCATCTGAGCTGGATGTGGTATTGCTGGCTGGGGAGTTAGGACTTAGAAGCAGAAATGCCCCCTTCCTGGTCAGTGTGATTCCCCAAGTGAATATGGTTGTCCCTTGGTTCCTTGGGCAAAGGAACATTTATGATGTTTGCCTTTGTACAAATACACACACACACACACACACACACACACATACCCTTGAATCTTGTCATTATTCCCTAAATAACAAAGGATTGCAACAACTATTTATGTAGTATTTATACTGTAAATAAATTTAGGTATTAGGTATTAGAAGTAATCTAGCGAGGACATAATACAGGAGAAATGTGTGCCTTTATGTTAAGTACTATGCCACTTTATAGAGGGATTTGAAAATCCTTGGATTGTGGTATCTGTGGGGACTCTTGGAGTCAAACCGCTGGATACCAAGCAGTGACTCTGTATGCTCATCTACACTGAAGCAGCGGCATTCTTTAGAAAGAGGGCCGAAATCTTCAGAAATAGGAGACGGCTTCCAACTGACAGATACATGGTCATTTGGGCTTCTCTGACCATTTGGCACTTAAAGTGTTGGGGTCTAGAAGGCTGCCAAGTCTGCCCTCACATTTTTAAGTATGACTTCGTAGGCTAAGAGAAGCAAGCCCCCACCCACACCCACACCCCCAGAAGAATAAAGTTACAAAAGATACCTTATGTTTCAGGGATGGACCTAAATTCTTATTTCCTGATATTCCATTCATCCTTGTGAAAAGTTCTCACAACTCTCCACGTGACATCCACTACAGTTAATACAGTCTTTGTGCTTTATTCAAACGTTCACAGGACATTATTTATAGCTGTTTCTCCACAGGTTTTTTCAGATGGGTACATCTCATGTCCGTGATGCCCCACCACCTCTCTGCTGGGACCCCAGCAAAGGCCCTCTGCTCTTTGCTGCTGCTCTGTGCACGGCCAGCAAAGCACTCAACAGCTCTGGACAAGAAAATCTATCTCATTACTCAAAAAAGGCATGTACAAGCAAAATGAAATAAGGTTCAACTATTTACAATTGTTTTATTCAATTTAAAACCCTAATATATTTTCTCTTGAAAAATGAGAATTTTAAAGTAGTTATTTTTCATGTTGTTTCTTTTACCTTTAACATACATGATTCATATATTAAGTCTTCTCCTACCCACATAGATTCTTATCTCTCTCAAGCAGCTGTGAGCAGAATTCATATCCAAAAGCCAGTTCCCCTTTTCTAAAACTTGGATAAAAGGGTCTGTGTGTCAACATAGTAATGATTGTTCCCAATGGTAAAAAATCCTTTGGCCTTAAGCCAAATGCCAGGTCTTGGTTTCTGGTTGCCTAAAGTGTTTTGTTTTGCTTTTCCCCAGAGAAGGGCAGGAATCTTAATTCCTTAGGTTTGTCTCAGTGACATGTCTGAAATGGGCATTATGTACAGTCAGGAATGGTGCTTAAAGACAGGGACATTGCCTGAAAAAGGCAAGGTTTGGTGATTTCTTCAGTGAACTTACACTGACCTACCATACAGTCAGGCTCTCAGTGTGGTGCCTGTTGGCATGAGGACTGGTGCTTGCTGAATCGTGTTAGGAGCTCACTGCTTACGATGAATTCACCTGTGCAGTCTAACTGCTACATGATATTTTTCACACCAAAAGAGATGACAACTGGCAGTCGCACTGTATTTAGGTCAAAAATCTCAGTATTGTCATCTTACATCCTTCTAATGAAGAAGACAAGATGTTGATTTTATTTGACCAATAAATAAAGGAGTTTACATACATGAAGTTGTGTGGGAGTGGGGAAAGGGAATCAGAAAAACATGACATTAAAAGAAATACTTTGCATAGTTTCCCTCCCCGCCATGTCTAAAAGCAATTAGAATTCTAGATGGAGAAGTTTAGAAGGTAATCAGCCAATTCAATTATTTATAAAAAAATATATATATATAATATGTATATAAACGCACAAACCGAATGATGTGAAAAATTGTTTTAATCTAAAAACTCATTTCCTAGGGCTAATTCATCACCAAGCCCTGCCAATTTTTACCAGTTTATGGGACTAACAAAAGCTATTAAGCATGTTCTCCAAATAAAGATAATATATAATAGATTTTGATAAACCTTTCTAAATGAGGACATGATACTGCAAGTAGTTCAAGGAAAAATAGCCATCATTTCTTTGGTGTAACCAAAAAGAGATCCAAAAGTTAGGAAACGCTGATATTTCAAGAGATAAGAAATTGCCAAATGGAGAATTTAAACTCTGGTAAAAAACCGTTGAAAAAGGAAAGCGCCACCCGAGTTCTGTAGTGCAAGATTTCAAATTTAATTCTGAAAAATAATTTTATTTAATAAGCAGGAAACAATTCCAGCAGTGTATCACTTACGCCTCTTCTGTCCTCTTTGACCCTCTCTGTACGTGCTAACCATCACTTCATTCTCAGAGAAGGTCTCAGCTGCTACTCATGGAGGGAATTCACTTAAAAATGACCCATATTTCCAAAAATCGGGCTTAAAGTTGTATCTGTGGCTGCAAGGAGCTGACTCCAAGTTATACCACTGCCACTTCCATGGGTTTTTGTCATTTTTACAAAAAAGAAACAAAGCCTTTTTTCCCCAGAAAAAAGTACCTGATCCAATTTAGTCACTTAGCCCTTCCCCAACTTTGTGGGTTAACCACAACGCGGCTCACCTCAAAAGCACACCTGTGCATATACCCATGTGTTCTGAGCACTCAGAACCTGCTAATCTACCACCGCTTTCTTAGAAACAACAGCCTCTCCCTACTTCTGGGACACTTTCATTTCCAGAAACACAGTACTTTTAAAGCAATCATCACCTAGCCCAGAAGACTCCATTCCTCTACCTAGCTTAACTCTTCTATATTTGTACATGCTGTTCATGTGCGCCTGTTTAACATACAAAAATGTTCAAAATGCACAGCCACACAGCTCTACACACGCCTCCAGCATTTAGGCAAATACACACACACACACACACACACACACAAATCTTCCCCAGGAAGCACTTTCAGAAGTTAAGCTTCTACTTGCTTTTAAGACACAGGGCAAGTGCCAAGTGACTCCTAAATACCCCTCCCCCTTGCTCTGCAAGCTGGCAGCGCCTGGGATGACAACACCCACGCTGGATGGGATCCCAGGGGAGGCAAGGAAGAGACCCTGTTGAGTTTCCCAGAACCGTATGTTGGGCATTTCCCCCCATCTCCTTGGAGATTCAGGTGCTTGCCCCTAACTCTTTTCCCTCAGAGGACCTCTGCCCGGTTCTCACGGGTCCTTGCCTGTCCGCACCAGCCATCCCATCTGCAGCCTGTGCCTGCAGCGGGGCGGTGGGCTCCCCGCCGCTGAGCAGGTGACCCCCAGCTCCCACATCCCCTGCAGGTCCATTAGGCGAACGCGCACTTGCGGGGCCCAGGGTCCGGAGAGCCCCGCTGTCCGCTGGCTCCACCGCTTCCCCTTCGCCTTCAGAGATGACGGTCATGGGGCGGCTCTGGATGCGGTTCCTCAAGCTGTACCTGCTGCTGGCTGCCGAGGGGGGCGTTCGGCTGCGCCCGTACCTGGGGCCGGAAAAGGACAGACTCCGAGGCATCAGGCCTTCGTTTTTGGCCCACTCCTCCTGGGCCCTTCTGTTCTTGCTCGGGGAGGGGCTTGACGGGCTCTCAGGGGCATCGGGCGAAGGCTCTGATCTGGACCTCTGGAACCTTGGGTCTGTGTTCTTGAGCATCTCTGCGGCGGACATGCGGGCGCTGGTGTCGGAGCGACTTCCTTTTTTCAGTAACAGAGCTTTGAAGTTGTCGCTGCTGGTGCTGCTCTTCCGGACGCTTCTCTGAATCGATCCCACTTGTTTCGGAGAAGTCAGACTGGGGGCAGCGCCGGTGGGTGTCACTGGCGGGGAGGGCGAATGGTTCCGGGAGTGATCATCATCTGAATCTTTACGGCCAAGAACTTTCCTCTTGGATCTGGGGTTTAATAGCATTAAGTGGGAGGTTACTGGCTGTCAATCACAAGTCACCCTGTGTCTCTAAAATTTTCAACTCACCCTTAGTAAGAGTGATTTAAATGACAGAACTTACAAGCACCCGTGCAAGAAAAGACCAGTTGTTCACTTACCAGCTGAGCACACGACCCAATTACACTATATCCAGTTTACGGCCCCCTTTCCTCACTAACTCCCTCACCAGATTACTTTGAAAGAACTCTCAGGTATCATATTAGCTAACTTTGGCTAGTAGGACATTTCCAAAAAGTCTAGTAATTTCTATTTTTTACTAACCTCTCCGCAGAAGGTTGTTTCTGAGTGAATTCCATGGTGGTGACCATCTCTTACTCTTCCTTGTCTTGTTTGGCTGGCACTTGAACAGATCTAACAAATCAGCCAAGTCCTAGAATATCTCCTCTACCCAAACACGCCTCTACTCCAGGTTCTAGAACAACTCTACAAATGTTTTCTCAGCCACTGTAGAGTGTGATAAAAACCAGTCAGTCTTCCTTAGTGATTGCTGCATCCTATTTGAACTTCTAGAAAACTAGTTTTCCAGAAGACAACAGTGAACCTTCTGCACCAGGTCCTGTTTCCTGTCTGGCTTAGAGTACTGCTAACTGATCGAGGAAAGAAATATGAGGGATGCGGGTGAGGTAATGATGAGGAGGGGTGGTCAAGGAAAGTGGAGTGTTTCCTTGAGGGTATTTCCTGTCCTCAGTCCCTAGCAACCTCCCTATTCAATATTTAGTGTGTTTCCTATGGTAAAACGCATTCACAATAACCAGAGAAAATAAGCGGCTGAGCCAAGCAGCCCATTGCCAGAGTCTGAGGAATCTCTCAGCTAAGTACAGGTGGATTTATTTGCTTTTAGGAAACTGGGCACATTTGCTAAAATAAAGATGTAGGGGTGCCTCTTTTCCTACTATCAAATTCTAGAATATTTAAAAAAAATAGGTTGTGATAGATGAAGAGTGGACTCACTCTTCACAGGTCTTGCTCAAGGTCTGTGACCTTGGACAAGTTACTCACCTATGCTGCATCTCAGTTTCATAACTGATAAATGAGAATGGTGGCAACAAGCTCTAAGATCTGTGAGAAATCAATGAGATCAACAACTTCTGGAGTCACATATCCTAGCTTAAATCCTGCTGCCAAAGCTTCCCTGCTTGGTGATCTTGGGCACATGAAAGTTTTGATCATGTGCCTTATGTGGAAAAGGGGACTAACAGTATGTAGAGCCCACAGTTTATCAATAAAGATGAAACACAGTAATAGCCTTCAAATATCAAGTATCGGGCACAGAACAGGTACTTATCCAACCTCTAACTGTCATTTAGGGAAATAAAATTCTTCCTTCCTGCAGATTAGGCGTTAGGGCTATTGTAAGTGGCTTGTGCCCTAAGACATGATGGCTGTTCCCAGGCTGGCTGCTCCCAGGGTGTTCTCTGTGCCTCTAGCCAAACTGAAGCCACCCAAGCACCAAAGACGGAGTCTGAAGGGAGGGAGAGCAGGCCTGCTGAGGGACTGTTGCCTTTGGGACTCCAGAAAAATATTACCTCAAAATGACTGAGCTGGAAAAACTGTTAGATGGGTATACAGAGAAGGTAACTGAAGCCTAGTCTGGGTTTCAGAGAAGGTTAACTGAGGTCTAGAGTGAAGTCACACAGCTTCGTACAAAACGAGGCCTGACAGAGCATCTTTTACTACAGCATGTGCCATCGAACTCACGCCGCCGGTCTCGCCGCAGCTCTGCTCATCTCACTCTTGCAGGGGTTGGTTGGTGGCACTTAGATCCCCGTAAGAGTATCTGGTATTTATCCAAGTTGTAGCTCTATCTGATTAAAGCCATGGCATGTAACTGCAGATTTAGAAATAAGAGGAAGATGGGAATTTATAAAAGCATAGTTGTTTCTCAAGAGCAACTCATCTGAATTGAAAATAAAGTCTAAAAATATGAATTGGCTGCATATAGCTGTGCACACATACGTCCACACAGTGTGTGTACTACCAAAGAGGGTTATAAAAAGTACTTAAACAGTTAACACTGGCTGAAATACTAATTACTTCAATAAATACAAAAACTTCACACCTCGACTGGTGTTCTTCATTTTCCATCTGGCTGTAAATCTGAAGTGAATTAATTTGCATTATAAAATTTGAAAGCTGTGTTTCAACTTAGTCTTTATTTTAAATTATTAGTGTAGGTGCTAAAGGATATAAAATAAAGTCCAAAAAGATCACAGACCTTCGACAGATTTTTTACTACGTGTGCTAACATGTTGCCACAGCTAAGAGAGACCCTGGCACGTGCCCTCGCTCTGGAATCTATACTCTCCTTGGCATTTTCGTCCAGTGTGTGTACATGAAATAACAAAGACTGGCTAGTTCTTACATCTGCAGTAAATACAACTCTCTAGTAGGAGAAACCACAAAATTTTCAGGGCCTTGAGACAGCTGCCAAAATAAAACAGATGAGAACTTTGGCATATTTTTAAGAAAAGCACATAGCAATTTAGTTCCAGAGTAGTTGAGTTTCTCACCACGATCAAGAATGTAGTTCAGAGCAACTGGGTAACACATCCTCTCCATGGCTGCTGCTATAAATACAAGCACAGCGTACTCTGCGCGAAATGAAAGACACTGTGTCTTGGGAGGCTTCCCAAGCAGTGAAGTTCCAATTGGTTTCATTTAATTCAGATATGTTTATTAAGTGCTTATTATGTATATAGCATGGTTAAAGTTAGAAGCATCTGTGTAAACGTCTACAAGTGCCAGCTATTTTCAAAGGCTGTCGCATCTTTCACTTCCCTGTTTTGAGAAATCATTTGATAACTACCTACCTTTACATTTCTACTGAGATCGAAAAACCAGTCAGACAGGATGAAAGGGGCAGTCTTTAGAGTTCTTGGGGATACTGCACCAACATCTGCGCCAATTCTTGATAAATGCCTTACTTTGCCAGTTAATGGTCTCTCCCCACCTCCTGGCTCCCCAAGTTAGATGTTTACATGCTATAAGAGGAATGTCAGCTAGGGACAGCACTGGGCTTCTCATCTTCTCAGCTAGACTTCAAGAATTGGCAAAACCTTCCTGACACGAGGTTATACACACGATCAAATAATTTTATAGGATATTCTGCTTCAGCAGGTAAAAAAAAAAAGATGCAATGTAAGGCACTAGCAGAATAAGAATATAAGTATCTGAAAATATCCTGAATACGTTTAGAAGGTAGCAGGTGTTGATATAGCACAAGGGCTCACAGTTCGTGCACATATCTAGTCTCATCAATGCTTACGACATTTGTTTACAACCAGAAAAATGCTGCCATGCATAAAACTAATATGAGAAATCATCCTCACTCTTCAAGGTCAACACACAGACAAAATTATAGCAGTCCAGGCAATTATTTTGAAACATTTCCTCTGTATCTTTAAAACACAGTCTTTCAGATGCCAGCAGGTGGCACTAGCAGCTCACAATAGCAAGGAGCTGAAAGCATTTTGCACTTAAAAAAAAAAAAATTTAAGTAACCAAAAGAAATTGCACTATAAAATTCTGGGGTTTTTTTTTTTTTTTGCAAAATTGTAATGAAATAAAAAGCCTTTAGGAACGGGCCCCTACAGAGCTAGTCTATGTGTGCTAAGCCCATAGATCACAGCATCCCTCATTCGAGACTGAACCCCGGCTGCTCTTAGCCAACTTCTATCATCTGACTGACATACTGCAATTCTCGCCAGCGAGAGTGGTGTCGGCTAGAAGGTATCATACTGAGCTCCTGCCCACCCCACCCCCCAGCACCATAAAAATCAGCAGAAAAAGTAGAAGAGAAATTGGAAAAATACAAATACAGAAACACATACACACACACAAAATCAAACATCAAGTTCATCTGAATTGGATGAAAGAAGATGAAGAAAGAAATTCAGGAGACATGTGGAAAAGGAGATTCACTAGGTTGAGATTAAAATAGCAAAAAGGATTTGGGGATACCTGTGAATAGCTGCAAAGAGGTCTTCTGTGGTCCGGGGTCTACTGGGGGTCATCACCTCATCACTCCCTTCCTCCTTAGGGAAGTCACAGGTGTCCAAGGAAGAATGGGCTGTGTGGGTCTCCGGCACCCCAGCTATGGAGAAGCAAGCAGGCAAACACAAGACGCACAAGTGACTTGAATTTCAGCTGTCAGCCAAGCTCCCAAATATGCTCCCCTACCATCCCGACTATGTGAGAGGCACAGAGAGGCAGCTGGGTCTGTGCTTTGATATTTTACAAAGAGGTAGGAAATGCCAGGCACATGGGAAGCAAACCTCGTTCTTTCCGTTAAAGTCTAGAACTCCTACTGAATCGCACTGAAATGTTGTCATGTTTCTTTGCAGCTCTCCAAAAGGGTGATGACTCATCGCTCACTAATCCCCAACCTGCTGTAGAGCCCCACCTCCTATTTTCTGACCTTCTGTAAGGTTTACCCTTAGATCTAGATTTAAAAAAGAATTTTTTTCCAGGAAATGCTAAGTTGGTTCCCTAAGCGTGGGGGCGCACAGGAAGCCCACAAACTGCTGTCTCTAAGGGGCGCACACACCAGCCCTTCTCAGCCCTGTTTGCCTCCTCAGCCTGTGGTGGGGTAGAACAAGAAAGAAACCAGACTCACGCGCTGCGTCCTGCGGTGACGGGCAGCTCTCCACTTCGCCAGCACCATCCGAACTGCTGCTGGCACCGAGCTCCTCTTGATTGGGGGCTGGCGAGGCATCGGGCTGCACCATGGGGACATTGGCTTCCGCTCTGGCCAGGGATGCGGATCCTGCAGCTCCTCCCTCAAGAACCAGACTGCCAGAGTCCGTCTCATCAGAACCTGTCCCGGCCGCACAACTCTCTGCCTCTCCCCTCGTGGGGCTGGGCGCTGCTTCGCTCACGTTCTCCGCGGGCTCCGCTGTGAAATCTCTCTGCGGAGGTGGTACCACAAGGAACAGTTTGGGCTTCTTGGAGATGGGGGGCGGCTTCCTGCTGGGTGAAGGACCTGGGGGCTGCGGGAGCAGCGTGGTGTGCGGGCCGGGCCCGGCCTCCCCAGCGCTGCCCTGGCTGCGGCTCCCGAGGCCATGCTCCGTTGCACCACCCTGTTGACCCTGACTCCAGTTCTTGGCAGGAGACGGAAGCGAGCTCGTCAGGGAGGCAGGCTGGCTTTCACTCTCCATTTCATTTATGCTATTTCGGGATTTCAGGAGAGCAGATGGCTTTAAATGATACTGGGGAACAACGGGAGTTAGTTTTTCCTGAGATATTTGCTCCTGTGACAGTGCTACCTCGGGTCCTGAGTTCTTTTTCACCGGCCTCAACTGTACCGTCTGCAGCGCTTCCGTGGTTATGAGGGGCATGGGGGGCCCGCTGCCCGCCTCCTTGTTAGGGGGCGGCCTATCGGCCTCCCGGGACCATTCTGGCTGGCCAGATTTTTGGAAAGGCCTGCAGTCTTTCATCAATTTGGGGTCCAGGGGTGAGGCAGGTGGGGGAACAGAGGAGGGCAAAGGAGGTGGGGAAGATGACAAGGATGCAGAAGAATCCAGAAGAAGGGGGTTAAGTGCTGTGGGGGGAGGAGGAAAGCTGGCATCAGGGGCGGGAGAGTAGGGGGTGAGGACTTCGGGAGGTGGAGGCGGGAAAAGGGGAGAGTGAGGCAGAGGGGAGCCCCCAGAGGAATGGGGGGAGGGGTGGACAACAGGAGGGGGAGGAGGCAGGAAAGGAGACTTGTCAGCAGGGCAGGGAGATGGCAGAGAAGGGAGAGCAAGGGGAGAGGCCAACGCAGAATCCAGCTTCTTCACAGTGCCGCTCCCTTCCGTGGATGTATTAGATGACAGGGACGTGGACGAGGAGGAGATGGACACCGACGATATCAGCGAGGACTTTCTTTCGGGGACCTTGGGCTTGGCCTTCCCCTTGCCATTAGCTGGTGACAGGGACTTTAAGAACACAGGCACGGGGGTGAGCGCAGTGGGTGTGTCGGACTGGCTGGAGTAACCGCTGGATGGAGAAGTGACCCTGTGCGATTTCTCCGGCGAGGTGACCTTTGGTTTGCCGGGGCCGCCGGGCACAAGGGGCGTGGGGACCCTGGACCCATCTGAGAGGTGGCGGGCGGGCCCATTTCCGGTGGGCGCCCCATTGCTGGCTGCACCGCCCCCGCCTGGGTTTCCCGGGTCGTCCTGCACGCCCGTGTAGTCAATGTAGTAACCCCAGGGGTCCGTGTACTCGGACTTGACGCTGCTCGTGTCGCTCTGAGCTGGCGTGGCCCCGCACAGGGAGTAGACATTGGGGGTGGTGGCGGAAGTCATGCTGCTGCCGGCACTCACGGTGCTCTGGCTGCGGGAGCGAGGCGGCCAGGGCTCCTCAAAGTCACTGCAGGGGCTCTGGGAGGGCGAACTGCTGCCCTTGGCGGGGAGATTCAGCTGCAGCGAGTGCTGGAGCGAAGCAATCAGGCTCTCATTTAGCACCTGCCCGTTAGACTGGCCGCCCTTCTTGGGAATCCTGCGGAGGGAGTCTGTCCGACATGGTGGCAGGGGAGGCTTCTTGGCTTTCTTCAAGGAGATGTTTCTTGAAAGGTGATTTGACCCCTCCCCTTGGTTCTTCTGAGCTCGTCCATCAAAAACATTGACCATGCTGTGCCTGGGGTACCCAAAGCCATTGCTGCTGTTGCCCAGATTCCCCGGCCCCTGCCCAGGGTCTGTGTGCATGGCTGTGTAGTAGCCATCGTGGTCCTCTGAACACAGGGACCTGGCATCATCTTTGTTTGACGTCTGGTCCAAACTGCAGCTGCTCATGTTACTGACTGGCGTGCAGTAACCGGGAGTGGCCAGATGGGGCTTTGTTGGGGAAGCCTGGCCATTACCTGAGACATATTCCCAGGGCTCGCTGCTGCCATGCCCCCTTCCTCCTGAATAACTGGACTCACTCTTGCTGTCCACATCCTGGGCGTGGGCTGGGAAGCCCACGTTGTTTCTACAGTGAAAGGCCACAGCTTGGGACTCATTCTCCCCATTTGTTGGGGGAACTAGCGAGCCTGTGGAATCAGAGAGGGATAGCAGTGTGGCTGCCCTGGAGGGGTGGGGAGGTAAGGCCTGCGAATGAATGGGGGAGTGACCCTGACTCCAGCTGCCACTAGCAGCACGACGATCATCTTTACCAGCATGCCTGGACAGGAGCTGGTCTCTGGATCTGATCTTTGTATAGGAAGCTGAGCTGGTGATTTTGCTGTCCAGCTGTCCTGGACTCTGAGCAGTGTGAATAACAATTACCTCCGAAGAGGAAGAAAGCGTGGCATTTGGGATGATGCTGGTCGAGTAGGTGGCGTGAGGAGAAACCATACACGCTGGGTTTGTTGTGTTTTCACCCTCAAAGTGCCTCAGCTCCTGGGATTTGGGTCTCAAAAGTGTGCCAGTCCTTGGAGCATCCCCTAAACGTCCTGTGTTTTCATCTAGGTGTGGGCTACTCCTCTGGTAGGAGAAAGCACCCTCAATGTCTTCTGCAGGGCCCAGGACACCCTGCTGTGGCTCAAGGGACGGAATATTTGCCCTCGCTCCGGACCGCGGCAGACTGTGGAAGCCAGCGTCATTGTGGAGGCGAGAGGGGAGCACAATGCCAGCAGAATCGCTCAGCACAGACATGTTCCCAGAGGATCCTGACAAGTGGCTCATCTGGGCGGCGATGCCTTGCCCCCTCTGTGCCCTGATCCTTCTCACTGAAGGTGGAATGATCTTTACTTCCTCCGTCTGGCAGCTGGAGTCCCTGGTTTCTGAGCGCTGCCCCGAAGGCGTGTAGCTGTCGAGCCTTCCTAGTGTAGAGTAGTGGTCAGGGCTATATACTGGGTGACCACCAGCCTCATCTGGGCCAGTGCCTGATGCTGGAGATAAAGCAGAAAGAGCTTGTTAAAGAAACAAGAAATAAAAATCAGTATGTTAGTTCATCACCCTGTTCTCAAGAATCTTCTGAATGTGCTGTACTTTTTTTTTTCTTAAAGATTTATTTATTTATGTATACAGAACTGGGGTACAGGCCAGAGGTGCAGGAGCAGGGAGAGGATTCACCAGAGACAGAATGGGGAGGAGAACAGGTAGATCAAAGAAGTATACTGCTGAGGGGTGCAGCAGGCTGGCCAGGAGAGGTCTGCTGTGCCATCTGGGTCACCTCCCGGGCGGGGATCACACTCATGCTGAAGTGGCTTTAGCTTCTTAGTGCTGTGCTTTAACCTGCTGTGCTACTGGGGAGGGCCCTGCTGGATTCTTTTTTAAAAACATTTATTTATTTATGCATACAGAACTGGGGGTATGGTACAGGGGCAGTGAGAGGATTCACCAGAGACAGAGTGGGGAGCAGAGCAGGCAGACTGATGAAATACACTGCTGAGGGGAGCAGCGGGAGAGACATGAGAGGTCTGCCACGCCATGCGGGTCACCGCTGGGCCAGGGATTGAACTCTCACTGAAGTGGCTGCGGCTAGCTTACAGTGCTGCGCTTTAACCCAGGAGCCACCAGGGAGGACCCTGAATCTGCTGTACTTTGATATAGCCTCAGCTCCTGGAGATACCTAAGAGTTGAAATAGACACAGATAGCTCCTAAAATAAAGACTTGATATGAATTTCAGGTGCTTTTAAAAATTTGTACTTCAAATCTCCTTATATGTAAGGGAGCTGCCTGTGGAATTCTGAGGTGGTCCCATTGAGATCAAGAATCTCTCTGGAAGATTTACTTTCAAAATAACCTCTTCCTGGTGAAGAGTCCAAGGGAGCCTGCCACCCACGGGGGACTGCACAGAGCCCCAAAGATAGACGAAAGCAGTGGTTCAACAATAGGGCCCCTCAGGGATAATTACATCAATGCGGGACCTTGATATAAATTTGTTAATTACATTAATGCTTTATGTCAGAAGGAAATCCTAAGAAAGAGAAAAGTGATTTACAGCCCCATCTGTATTCCAAACATTTCATTATCCATCTTCATCTGTCTGTCAGTGACATTCAAAATTCAATAGCAATCTGTTGTGCTCTGGTGGGGGTGGGGCAGCAAGAACTGATCCAATGAACATTTCCTCAAATTAGGGCTACTCATTTCTTAGAGCTTTACAGTCAAACAAAGAATAACATGTTTTAGAAAAGAAGTACAAAGAAGGTCAACCAGGAAGGGAAGAAGATGAGAAAAAAGTAAAGATAAGTTAGATTTCAAATTACCTAGAAAGAATAAAGGCCTTAAAAAAGAATCATGATGCCAACAATTTGCCAAAAATATACCAAAGGGGAAAAAAATCAATCCATGCATAGAAATCGTTAGGACAATAAATCTTAAAAATAGTCATAAAACACAGTTCTCTCCATTAAAGGCCTAAAAATACCTTAAGCACTAGCAACACACACACACACACACACACACACACACACACACACAAGCTACACTCTTTTCTCCCTCAGAAAGAGGAGAAGGGGCCAGAAGGGCAGAAGCAAAAGAAAAATCCACTTTGAGGAAAGAAAAAAGATGTTAAGCTTTTTGCTATTGGGAACTTTATAAACTTTGTGTGTGTGTATGAACTATGTTAATTTGGGTAACTGATGATTGTTTAATTATTTTAAGTTAAATTGGGGAGGGGGGTGTGGAAGAACTGGGGTGTAGGCCAGAGGTTTGGAGGGGTGTAGAGGGAGGTGGGTAGGGTAGTGAGAGGATTCACCAGAGACAAGGTGGGGAGCAGAACAGGGGGATGTACTGAAACGCACTGCTGAGGGGAGCAGCAGGCGAGACAGGAGAGGCGAGTTCTGCACCATATGTGGGTCAGCTCCCTGTTGGGGATGGAATTCAGGCTGCAGACATGATAGCTGAGTGAGACTTAACCCCAAGCCATCAGGGAGGCCCTTCTTTGATACTTTTGGAGGTGGGGGGGGGGGGTTAACTTGTATGTCTGTATAAGTTTGTACCACTTTGATTCCAAACTTTCAAGAAACTTTATTCCATTCAATAAGAGGTTTTAATGTCTTTTCTTTCCAAACCATAGTTTTTGTGTGAGTGTAGGGGTAGATTTTTACTGTTTTTAAGGGTTATAACCAAAGTCCTGATTCCTCCAGTAAACACTTTTGAATATGAAACCATTCTAGCCTTCTGAAAATGACAGCACAGTCATTTCTTCACCATCTGCAGCCAACTACAACTTTCTTATTAAAATAATATTTTCTAAAGGCTTTTACAAACCTGTGAAAAATAACTCAGACATCATTTATCATAGGGACCATCAAAATTCTATTCCTAAACAGATCCTCCCATATTTTTGTAATACAAAAAGTATAAAATTATAGAGTACAGAGAAATGCTATACTGATTACAGTTAAAGAGCAAAAATAGACTTTAAAAAGAGAACTGCAAACAAATAAGGCTACTTAGGTGCTGTCTCCTCATGAGGTTTCTCCGATTTTAAACCATAATGTAAAGAAATAATCATATGTTATAATACTACAAAGGATTTCTAATAAAAAAAAAACCATGGGTCCTCCCTGGTGGCACAAGGGGTTGAGGCACAGCACTACGAAGCTAGCCTCAGCCGCAGCCACTTCAGCACCAGTTTGAGGTGACCCACATGGCGCGGCAGACCTCTCCTGTCCTGCCCACTGCTCTCCTCAGCACTTGTACGTCATCAATCTGCCTATTCTGCTCCCCACTGTGTCTCTGGTGAATCCTCTCACCACCCGTGCACCTCTAGCCTGTACCCCAGTTTTGTATGCATAAGTAAATCTTAGGAATAAAAACAAACAAACAAAAAATCAAAGATGATAGAAATCTGTATCTTACCCTAGTTTTAAGAACATCTAGCAATTCATTAGTCAAACCAACAAAATAATCTGATCTGATTCAAAAAGAAAAAACAAAACAAAATTCCTAAATGAGGTTCACATACATTTTTATGTATGTTTAAGATAAGAAAGGAAAAATTAAAAAAAATTTCAATTCATTTAAATGAAATGGGACAAATCAAGGCATTAAATATGCTTTGGAAGGTAACAGTAGATATCATACCTTGATTTTAAAGAATTACATATAGGCTAGCCTCTAATGTCCCCACCAGTTATGGATTTTGAAGTAAAAACCGTGTAATTCTGGAAGTGCTGTTTAGATTTCTAAAACTCCAAAGCCCCACAACGTGTGTAGTGTGGAATGGCCAGGGCACAGCTCTCCCATGTCTTTCTTCAGATAACATATTCTTTTCTAATCTAATTTACATGACTTAGCCACATATCCCTCCATTTTTTATATATAAAGACTAATTTAAAAAAAATACCAAGTGTCGATTTTTAATAATCATCACTTAGGTAATACAAGGCTTCCAAGCCAGATGCTTTGTGAGTACGAAATACTAGAGAACAGCATAAAGGCAACCAGAAGTCTCAAAGTGAAGAATGTAAAAGATCCACTTGGGTGAACCCCGAGGGTGGGGGAGGGAGAGTCAATGTTACTGCATTCAAATGTTATTTCCCTCATTTCATCCAGCCGCTCTTTGACCCAGCCTATCTGCAGCACCCAAGCCACGCCCTAGTGGTCCAATTATTTTTCTACTAGGTCCGGCTCAGACACAGCTGTCTCCCTTGTCCTCCACCTCTGATCCACAATCATGCCCCTGACTGTGATATCAAGAGTCTTTTGTCTGGCGACAATCCAACAGAGCCAGTGCTGAGAGCTATTGTCTCCCTCCTGCATTGGTGGAGTCTGTAGTCACATGCAAAGGAGATATGAGTATGGATTCCGAGAACCCACTCTCTCATTTCAACACATTAAAATTATGGCAGATAACTTTTATCTAGCAGGTGATCGTGAGGTCAAAGAGCCAAATGGGCCACTGGCTCCACAGTGATTGGTTTAGTAATAACTGAAGCAAAAGTTCAAATATATACACAGAAAATTCATACTGAATGCTTAGGTGCAATGTGTATCTTTATCTGGGTCAAACTATTCTTAGACTCTTCACAAGGTCATCTAAAGCCTACCTATTTGGGTTGGAAAGCCATTTAAATTGCAGCCTACCTCAAAACATCAACCTTGTTATTTTACAAAGGGCTAGTCTCTACTCAAAGATCTTCTTTTTGTGTTACAGCACATTTGCTAAAAAATCAGGTAATAAAAAATGTTACCTGAACACTGTAAGAAATTAGCCCATTAAGCAGCTACTGAACACACAAGTACAAATTAGTTTCTCAAAGGAGTTAGATGTCACTAAAGCTGCCAAAAAAAAAAAAATAATAATAATAATAAAAGCCTAAAAGGATGACAAATAGGAGGACTGATCCTGTAACAGGAAGGAGATATGTAGGCATGAAGCAAAGACTTCACAGACTGCTGGAGGGAGCCTCGCCGTTGCTTCGACAGACCCCTGTTATGGGGTGAGACGAGGCTGCTGCCTGGGTCACTGGAACGATGCAGACCAGAGGCAAAGTGTTGCTATTCTTGTCCATGGCCACTGCAGCCTGTGGAACTGGATGGCAGTAAAGAAGAAAATGCCAGGCAAAGGAGAGTGAGCGCTCCCTCCCTCAGAGAAAGCTTCTAAGCAGCGCTGTTGGGAAAAAAGCCACAGAGCAGCAACATCTGTAGCGCTTAGAAGCTGAAAGGCTACCCAAGGCAGATCTGATACTGGTGCCAGGATAAGCTCATTTTGATTAAGACCAACAGGCAGGCTCAGAAACAGTAATTCTAAGTTTCCAGAGTATAACCACAATAGTAAGTAAAAGTAAAACCATCAGCAGAAAGTAAGGGAGTGAGTCCAGAGGTTGACAGGAGAGAGGCAAATTTCAAGGGTAGCAGTGTTGCTGGGGCCTGCTCGGCACAAGGTGAAATCCTGCCATCGGCGACAACTTGGATGCACCCGGGGGATTGTGC